ACCATTGCTCTTCAGCACTTTGGAGAGGTCCCTAATAGCAGACAAACTACCCACCAAATAAACACAACAACAAAGAATGTCAAACTTAAACATTTTGTAAAAAAAAAAAAAGTCATGAATATAGGGCAACAGAGTCTGACCTCCACTAACTTTATCAAGAGCAGCATCAAAAGCACAAGACAATTTCTGTGAGGTCAGACATGCCCGTCTCACCACACCTTCCTACAATTCTGACACCAACCATTTCTCCCACAGTATTCATTAGTTCTCTGTTAGACTTGATATTTCATTGCAATAGCCACACAGAACTCAAAGACAATACTACCAATTATGGGGCTTAATAAGGAAGTAACAGGTTACAATTCAGATTGCAAACACTCAGGATATAATTCTTAATCAGAACAGCCTCTTTTCAGCTGTGGTCATAGACACACCACTTTCTGATTCTTGCACTTTGGCCTCCTACATGGGCAAGTTTTACAAAGCTTCTTTAAGTCATTCCAACCCTGTCAAAGAGCCTGTGCTTGAATTTTCTCACATTTAGCCCTATGGGTATGCTACACTTAGCACATTTTATATGAAAAATTCAGCACATTTAGACAGTGGATAATTTAATTATATAAAACAAAACATATATTAATGATTGTATGAAAAACTCTTATAAAGAGAGAAAAAAAAATAATCTAGTTGTGGACAACAAACAAAAGTAAGGTGGAAATGGAGTTTTAATGAAATGGAATCTAAGCTGAACTCAGGTTAGTCAGTTTAGTCAAATGCCTGCACATATAGGATTATACCTTAATCCTTTCCCTAGGTCTATGTTTTTGAAAATTCTGTGACAAAAGATACCCCATAAATGTCAGTGAAGCTTTTTACTTTCTGGATATGATGTGACATGCTTTAGATTTCTGATAGCCTGGTCTGTTGTGTTATTTGCTATCTAAGAAGTCACCTAAGACTTGAGACCATTTACTCAAAAGACAAAATGAGTTGAGCCCATTGCAAAGACCTAGAAACAAGAGAGGCTGGATTACTTCCAAAAAAAGTTTTGTACCAAATCAGCAAGGATGGCTTTATTATTTAGATGGTTTATGAGCATATAAAGGGAGGTATAATATTAAGAAACGAATGAGAAAGAATGCAAAAAAGTGTCCTTAAAGTCACTCACCTCACTACCTTCATTTTCACTGAATATCCTCAAATGACTCAGAAAATAGGGACATAAAATATGTGGGGATAGAATCTACCTCTGCTTTTAACCGGGAGAAATCACATACACACTTTAATGCTCTTTTTTTTTCTTTTTAAAAACATTTTTTATTTTAATTGTACGTGTTTATTTTTGCTTTGTTCTTTAGATAAAGAAAAGTATTGAATGAAAACACAAAGTAACTTGTTTATGAACTATTCTGCCCCCCTCACAAGTACAATCTGAAACTGAAAGTTCAATTCTCTCCCATTTAAAAGGACAGAGCTCAGCCAGCTCAGACATTGTCATTACGAGTGGACAAGGACTGAATGAGCAAGGATTCCCAGGATAACAGGTACCTGACAACTCTGAACATGAATGCTGGCCTAGGAGAGGGAAAGAGCTTCTGAATGAATGAAAATTAGGAATTTGTTTCTCAGTCCTTACTAGGTTAAAATTCTTTGCCATCTCTGCCTTTCTCCACTGGAGAAATGTAAAAGATGCAAATACTCAAGTGTTCTGTCTTCAATAGTCAAGATACATGTGAAGGATACGTCCTAATAAAAATCTGGACTGTATTTACGTTTCAGCAAAAGGTACAGTGTTTTTAATGAAGTTTACTACTTTACACTCTGTAAGTTTTAGCCTTCATCATTTGGTGAGATTTAGCATTTTGTTCTGCCTTCTTATCACTATTCCTGATGTTAAATTTTACTGTGCTTGTACTCCTCTAAGTTAGTTCAGCTGATGTAAACAGTTTTGTGTAGGACCCTTAAAAACCCCAGTGTCCTGGGCAAATGTTACAGTTTGGAAAAGTAAAGGGGATCTGATATGGAGATGAAAAACACAATTTCTGAGTAAAGGTAACTTGAATCCCCAAATGAAAAGTCTTTGAACTCTGAGATGAGTAATAATAATAATAATAATAATAATAAATCAAATGGCTTCATGGCTGGGTCCTGCATGCCATAGTAGGATCTGGGCACTGTTTACCTTAGAGGAATATGAATTGTCTTTCTGAATTGTCCCGTCACTTTGAACACAAGATAGTTTTTATGTTAGGTAGATGAATAATTGACAAGGTGTAAAATTGTAATTACATGAGAACTGAGAAGGCAGTCTTGGAGAGATACTTCAATGCCTTCCATATCTAATGAAGCACTCATGTGGATATGAATAGTCGGGCTCATTTGGCACAATGAGTGGAAAGGATCCTTTGCCCAGTAACCACTGCTTTTCTTTCAGAACTTTGTTTACAGAATATGCATTCCACGTATTTCATTCAGTCTGTGATATAATAGTAATGTGAGTACTCGGGTGTTATTGACATAAATATTACTCACAAATGATGATTACTACATGGAGTTCTGTTAGTTTAAACAACTAATTAAGTAATTTATGGTAATGAAAGTACTTTTTGGTGTTTTGGGTTTTTTTTAATCCCAAATGTGCTAGAGGATTGGGCAGCCTCTATTAGAGTACAGAAGGTCTAAGTCTTATTATTTCTACAAATAGGTTAAACATTGGGCCCCTAACTTGAAATAGGTGGTTTCCAACACACTGGTTATTCTATCAGAGAAGGATGTGACAAACAGCTTCTGTCAATAAGACAGCAGTAGAGTTTTTAACGGCTCATGGAAGAGGGAGCAGTAGTGTTAGGGGCCACTGTCAAGAATCTTACCAAGAACACTTTACCACAAGCCCCTCTTTGCCATTTTATGGTGTGGATCAAGCAATATCTTGCTAAAACTAAGTCAGAATGTTCTAAAAACAAAACAAAACAAGACAAAACAAAAGCCAACCCCCCCAAACCCCCACACCAACCAAAACACAAACTAAAAACACAAATGGTCTCAGAGTGTAGAGAAGCCTTTTTCTGGGTTTGCTGAAGGATATAAGTAGGAAGTAATGAGAGGAGGAAGCACTGGGCTAAAGACATTAAAGGCCTCCCACTCATTCTTTGGCTTGTTTTGCTAAGTGTGCAGTTTATATTTTTATCTCACAAAACATAAAAGTTTGAAATAAAATTTCAGTAGGTAATTAATAAAGTACACTGATCAAGGTGATTTTTACAACAGCGAGAAATATTCAGAAATATTGATTTAAGTTCAAGCCCTAGCTTAACAAAAGCTTGGAACAATTTTAATAAATAGTAAAGGATTCAGAGTATCTTTCTAAGGTGGTGTAAGATATTAGGGCTTATAAATGTCAAAACTTGATCTCTTTCTCCTACTAGCTATTGACTCTTTTTGTCAACTTTATAATTAAACACTGTTGTTGTTATATGCCTTGAGTTGGAATCAACTCATGGCTGACTCTCAGGTGGGTTTCCAGAGTTTGCAAATCTCACAGGAAGAGCTTGCCCAACTTACTACCTTGGAGCTGCTGGTGGATTGGAACTACCTGCCTTTGATTGATAGCCCACCTCTTTACCCACTAGGCTATAAGAACTTCCTATACCAGATCCCTTCTGGAACCTAATGTCAAACTCCCCTTTTTCTGAATGCAAAACCTATTGGCTGAGAATCTGAGTCAACTTTCCAGGAAGCAGTAGAACATAAGCCTGGAGTTCTGAGGCTGAATTGAGGATTCGTTAAAACAAAATTGATGTATCAACATAGTTGCAGTGGAGCTTATTATGTCTATGACTCTCTCTCACTGTCTTATATTTATTTGCAGTCATTTTTGAATTTGGAAATGACATGTCTTTTAGACAGAACAATTTACTGGCTGATACTTACTTGGTGGCTAACACAACAGGTAATGCATGTCAATCTCTTCATATAGCTTTGATCTCAAGAAGCTTTCAGAGCTGGGTCTAACTAGAGCTAGTTAGAGAGCATGCATGTGTAGAAATTTCTAAAAGTTATTGTTATTAGGTGCTTTTAAGTCAGAACTAACTCATAGATGACTCTCAGGTTTTCAGAGGCTGTAAATTGTATAGTGGAAGATTGTCCATATTTCTCCAATTTAAAAATAATAGCAGAATACAATCACAGTAAAAAAGCTTAGCTTTTCCCTTTTACACAAGTCAGAATATTCATACATAAGAGATACTCATACATATTTCATACATGAGCTCTGTAATAGACATGTATGATGCTTAATGAGATGTCCAGTATACACCCACCAGCATGTGGCAGACCCTTAGTGAATATGACAACAAATATCCTTCCTTCTTTACAGGTGGCTGGACAGGCAAACCTAGATATGGCCTATGATGCATTTGATGATCAATATGAGGGCTGTTCTGAAGAAATGGAGAAAAAGGCACCCCAGTTGTTAAAAGAAGAACTGGAAGCAAATAAACATTTGGAAGTTCAATGGGAAGAAGCAAAGAAAAGATGGAAGGAAATAAAGAATACAATAAGCTCTTCAAGACAATTAAATGATTTCCATGGAACAGCTATAGTTGCCTACACTGGACCCATTTATGAAGAATTTAACAAAGCTGTGAGAGAATTTCGTCAAAATTCACAATACTTTCAGTTCAAAGCCTTACATTACTATTTGACAAGAGCCATTCAAATCCTCCAAACTGGGGAGTGTTACACAGTTTATAGAGGCTGTGAAACCAAGTTTTATTACAATGGGTTGGGAGATGTACGTTTTGGGCAATTTATTTCCTCATCTACTTCTGAAACGGAAGCTTTAAAATTTACTTCTAAGAGAGGGACAATGTTTACCATCACAACTTGCGTGGGTGTTAAAATTGATAAATACTCTTACTACAGAAAAGAAAAAGAAGTGCTAATTCCAGGATATGAAGTTTATCAAAGCGTCAGTATAAAAAACGCAAATGAAATTCAGCTTGGAAATTCCATAAAAGGGAAGAGTAATTTCAATTGTTTCTACTATAATTCTATGAACAATGTAATTGGTCAAGACAACTTCAACAGCTCAGGTGAGTCTGGGTCTATGTTCAAGGTAGAAGTAGTAGGGATATAATGAAATAGAGGAGGGAATGTTTCCTACCAGAAGGCACCCAGACCTGAGGACAATGGGACTTTCAACTAATTGGTGAAGAGTATTAGGTTCCTAAAAAAACAGGGTTAATATCTTGGAATAGAGATCAGGGCACATGGGAGTTTCTGGTCCAGTTAATCTCTCTGCTATGCAGAGAATTCAGAAAGTTATGCTGAACACAGGTGAAAATGAGTCATGGAAAAACACTAGTATAGGTGGCAATGGGAAGAATCAGAGGAATTGCTAAATGAGGTTTAAGTTGGAAGAGTGGGACTGGTGTAATAATCCTGGTCAGGAGCTCTTGAATTGAGTGAGGAGACTGATAAAGGAAGGAAGTTTGGGACTGACATAACACAAGAGTTGTTCTGGGATTGGAGTGTGGTTTGATGGAAATGGCAAGGGAAAAAGGATAGCGGAGGTTGTTGTGGGGTTCCCCCTTCCCTTTCTTTTTTTCAGTGTGGATACTTTTCAGATTCTTGCTAGGTTGCAGGATATTTCCACAGAAGTGATTGGCTAGATTGAAGAACAGGTGAATAGTGTTCAAACTTAGGAAATCAAAGAAAAACCCAGAAGGTTTTGGATGAGTAGTGTGTTAGCAATTATAATGTCAGCCTCAGCTTCTGGGAATCTCATGCATCACAAAATAAAGTACTGCAAGATTCAGTGATATCCTCATGATCTGTTTGTGGATCAGACATCATAATCCATGAGGTTTCACTAGTTGATTTTCAGAGGTGGACCTGTACCTTTTCCTCCTCAGTCCATTTCAGTGCACAAGATAACTTTAACACTCTGGAGGCTTTGCTGAAATCTGTTCAATATCATAGCACTAGGTAAGTCTCCACTGACAGATGGGTCATGGGTGCACATAAGGTGCATTGACTGGGAAATGAACCTTGATTTCTTGCATGGAAGATGAGAATTCCACTGCTGAATCATTACTGCTTCTATTGATGGGTTGGTTGTTGTGTCCTTTCAAATTAAATAAACTCATGCCAACTATACAGAGAAGAGTAGAACTACTCCATAGGGTTTCCTTGGCTTTAATATTTTTTAATAAAATTTTATTATATACTGGTTTACTTACAAAGCTCGCATACCTTTTTTTTTCACACCAGATCTTTCACATGTCCTTTAGCCACCCCTCCCCCCACCCACCAAATTATGTAACCCTATGATTAATTATACCACTCCCTTCTGCTTCCACCCTTCCCCCTTTGGATCTTCATACACATTCTACAACAATGGTCTTATACAGTATTTGTCCTTATGGGACTGAGTTAGTTCAGTTAGCATAATGCTCTCTAGTCCCTCCCAAGTTAGGTAGTGATTTACAAAATCATTGCTCCTGTGTGCTGCGTAGTATTCCATTGTGTGAATGCACCATAGTTTCTCAGTACATTCGATTGTGATTGGACATTTGGGCTGTTTCTATGTCTTTGCAATGGTGAATAATGCTGTTATGAACATTGGTATATAAGTCTCCATTTGCACTTCAGTTCTAATTTTCACGGGGTATATGCCAATCAGTGGAATAGCTGCATTACATGGCATTTCTATGTTCAGCTTTATAGGGTAATGCTAAACTGCCTTTCAGAGAGGTTGTACCATTTTACAATCCCACCAACAATTTCTAAGAAGTCCCATCTTGCCACACCTTTTCCTTGCTGTTATGTTAAACTTTTGGCTGTAATCTTTACAAAAGTAAATTTCTAGATGTTTCACCTACAGATATAGGTGGTTAGATCAAACTGGTGACATTTTAGCATCTAGCAACCATTGCACCCACAGGGCTCTTTTAAGGAAAGATGGCCATGGCACTAACTTCAGTGAAGACACATTAACAATGATAGGAAGTAATAATGGAAAACATCAGAAAGGATACTATCAGTTACAGCCTTATGATTGGTGGATGAGAATTGCCACATTGTTCAGCCTCCTTTACCTATCCTCTACCATTCCTCTCTCAAGGTGTCCTGGCTTTCAGGTCTTTCTGCATTTGCAACTATTGATCCTTTTTATCATGATTCCCCCCTTCCCCCGCCCTGCTTCCTTTGGTCACATTTCATTTGAATATTCTCCAATTTCAAATGCTATTTGTTTCAGTACAGTTATTATTATACTAAAGGAATGAGCCCTAGATGTGCAGCAGTTAAGCACTTAGTTACTAACTGAAAAGTCAGCTGGATAACAGTGCAGCAGTCTTCTTCAATAGTGACCACAGTCTTACAAAATCTATGGGACAGTTCTACTCTATCCAATAAGGTCCCACTGAATCAAAATTAACAAAATAGCAATGGTTTTGCTTTTCTGGTTAACCATTCAAGATATAGTTCAAATATTACTGCCTACAATAATTCTTCCCAGATAACATACACTAAAAATTCAACATCCTGCCAGGCTCTGTGAAAGTGCAGGTAAATCACACCATTTGAAGATAATCCAGACTCAACCATTACTAGCTATGACTCTGGACAAGTTCTCTGAGCAATTGGCATCTCAATTTTATCATTTGTAAAATGGAGATAGGAATAACAAATAACTCAGTAGTTTAGCTTTGAGAATTAAAAGAGAGAAGGTTACGAGTTTTTTAGTTCATGCCTGACAAAGAGACAATACTTGCCAAATAATAATTTATTCTTTTCCTTAGAGAATCTTATACATATCTCATCTGTGTACTTATCATTTATATGATCTTTGATTAGAGTCAAGTGATATCTTTAATGTCAGGGCTTCAGTGTATTTCTGTCCCAACTGTACTCAAGGAGAACTTGGCTTGAGACTTTGTCAACGTCTTGAATGATGCCTGACTTGGATCAGAGCTTCGGTATATGCTGAAGTAGGTTCAGTTTTTTGAGATGTCAGGGTCAAACCAGAAGTAGATCTGAGCTGCAGAGTACAGCTCTATGGCCAACTGACTGACATGAGTCAACAACATGTGGAAATAATTTAACAATATCATTAATATTGAATTCAAGCAAAATACTACCAAAGCTCATTAAAAACCAACTAGAACAGTATGTAGAGAGCTACCAGAAGTTGAAGATGGATTTAGAAGAGGCCATAACACCAGGGATGTCATTGCTGATGTCAGATGGATCCTGGCTGGAAGCAAAAAATACCAGGAGACTATCTATTTGTGCTTTAATGACTATGCAACATCATTTGACTGTGTGGATTATAACAAATTATGGCTAACATTGCATAGAATGGGAGTCCCAGAACACTTAATCTACACCTAGTTCAAGGAGTTGATGAATCAACAGAGCAAGGAAACACTACATGGTTTAAAATTAAGAAAGCTGTGCATCAGAGTTGTATCATTTCTCCATATTTATTCAATCTGTATGCTACGCAAATTATTCAAGAAGCTGGACTCTTTGAAGAAGAACATGGCATTAGGGTTGGTGGAACACTCATTATTAACTTTTGTTATGTAGTTGACACAACCTTGCTTTTTGAAAGAGTAGAGGACGGCGAGCTTGCTGCAGAAGGTCAAAGAATACAAATTTCAATATAGACTGCATTTTAACATCAAGGAAAAAAAAGTTCTCTCCACTGGGCTGATAGGCAACATAATGATAAATGGGAAAAAAAATTGAAGTTGTCGATGATTTCATCTTACTGAGATCTATAAGCAACACCCTTGGTACCAGCAGTCAGGATGTCAGAAGGTATATTGCACTGGGAAATCCTGTAGTTAGGAATCTCTCCAAATTATTTAGGAGCATTGTTGTCAGTTTGAGGACTAAGATGCAACTGATTCAATTGTGGTCTTTTAGGGATTGCAGCTTCTTGCCACTAGGCCACCAGAACTCCCTAAATTGTGGTCTTTTAAATCATTTGCTATGCATCTGAGAACTGGACAAGAATAAGAATGACAGAAAAATGGATGGTTTTTAAATGTGTTGAAGATACTGAATGGACTTCCAAAAGAACAAACACGTATGTCTTGAGAAGGTGCAGCCAGAGTGCTCGTTGGAGGCAAAAGTGAAGCTTCATGTCACATTCTTTGGGAATGTTGCTAGGAAAGTCTGTTCCTTGGAAAGGGACACCATCCTTGGGAAGGTGGAGGGCTGGCAAAAGATAAGAAAACCCTAAGTGAGATGGCATTAGAATGATCAAGTGTTCTGGGATTCCCATTCTTCTCAGAGTCAGCCATAGTTTGTTATGATCTACACAGTCAAATGCCTT